GGGGGAGGAATGTGCGGCAGCGGCCTTTAAAGCTGCAGAGAACGACTTGGGGGTACTGGTGGGGTGAAAAGCTGGACGTGAGCTACCAGTATGTGCTGGCAGCCCAGCAGGCCAGCTATGCCCCGGGCTGCGTCCTCAGCAGCGTGGGCACAGGGCGAGGGAGGAGATTCTGCCCCTCTGCCCCGCTCTGCTGAGATCCCCCCAGGAGTCCTGTGCCCAGCTCTGGAGCCTTCAGCCCTTAGCCTTTCACCCACGGGTTGTGATTTTTAGTATTATAATGTATTATCATGAAGAGTAGGTTACTTTCGGACACTACTTCTTCGCTAAAACCAGCTAACACTAGCTAAGCGCTAACAAGTAGTCGTCTCAGGGTGTCCTTATCTCTTCAAGGAGAGTTTCCTTGATTTAAAGGTAACACGAACTCTTCTTCTAAGTAAAAACAACAAACTCCTATTATTCTAATCACACAAGGGCCTGTATGTGGAACACTGGCTCTTTCAATTACACTAGGGCCTTTATGATAACAGGAGAAAGTCCTGTGGTTCCTCCTTTATGGCCTCAAGTTGCATCAGGGGAGGTTTAGTTTGGAGATTAGGAAAAATGTCTTTAGTGCAAGAGTGGTCAGGCATCGGAACAGGCTGCCCAGGGCAGTGGTGGAGTCCCCATCCCTGAAGGGGTTCAAAAAATGTGTGGATGTGGCACTTCGGGACATGGTTTAGCAGGCATGGTGGGGTTGGGTTGACAGTTGGACTTGACGGTCTTAGAGGTCTTTTCCAACCTTAATTATTCTATGATTCTCCCACACTGTGAGGTCTGGGGAGCTGGGCTGTGCTGCTGGAGTGGGTGCCTGGTGTCCCGTGGCAGGCCCCCAGCATGGAAACTAGGTCTGGTCACTTACAGCTGCAGGGCCCGGCCATCAGCGGAGCACCCACAGCCAGCAGCCCAGGGCTGTGTCCTCCTGGGGTTTGGGTATCGCTAGGGGTGGAGACCCCGCAGCGTCTCTGGGTGAGCTGTGCCAGCATCTCACCACTCTTAACAGCCAAAAAAAGCCTTTGCTTATGTTTAAATTTATTGCAGATTGTGCCCATGTGCTCCTGAGTAAGAGGAATCGAGTCAGAGCATAATTTGCCTCCTCCATACTTCTGCATTTCAGCAGGCTCTTCTGTTAGAGTCTTGCTTCCTTCAAAATCTTTCCTTCAAGGTCTCTTCTGGCTTAGCGAAAACGAATTTAGCTCTAAAAAGCCTCCCTGCTGTGACTTGCGTTTCTGTTTGCCGCCTCAGGATGGAAGACAGCAAGCGATCTCATTCCTTGCACGTACATTTTATGGATTTAATTTTGTCTCGGTGAGCTCAAACGAGGGACGAGCCCAGCGCCTTACCAAACAGTTGGCAGGGCGCGTCTGCTGTAGTTCTGCTCATTGCTCTATGGGCAAGGGCACAGAAGACTCCCCGCGCCCAAAGGATGTGGGTTCAGTGGTGCTGATTGCCCCTGCTTGCTTTCACCCTGTCCCTTTGGAAAACTCTTCAAGACTGACAGGTTTCTCCATGTCCAACCCTCTCAGAGATGCAAATGCTGGCAGGCATGGTTTATAGCCATCACGTGTTGTCAGCTGAAGAGCAGAAAAGATAAACACCCACCATGTAAATCCACGCTGGCACTTTTTTTGCAATAGCTATGACTATGTGCATCATATCAAAAAGATTTTCTTATGTCATGATATTTAAAGATCTACATTCCAGTACAGGAACAAAGCCACATTACTGCTCAGCTGTCAATTTAATGAGCTAGATGCTTGAAATTAAAATTCTAACTGGTTTTCAATGTTAACTGCCTAACAAAGGAGTTACACCTACATTTTTTAAGGTCTTATGTACTAGCTTACACAAAACTTGCTCTAAAAAGACCTACTGTTGCCATTTACATTTTGTTTACAAAGCTGTAACTGCGAAGTTCCTTGAGGAAATAAAAAGTATGCTTCCACTTGAATTTATTTATTGATGAGCTCTTTATGCTCGTCATATTTATTGATGTCATTGCAAATTAAATATGAAGCAAGCGGAATTTAATGATTTGGCAATGGAAACTGCAACATAGCAATTCCACTAAGTTAACAGTAGAACCAGAATTAGGACTTGTGGGTTATTTCCACACTCTGTCCCTGAACACCATCTTCACCTGGGGCAGTGGTGCACAAAGTAACGTTTCTCCAAGGCAGAGGAGGCTAGCAAAGCAGTGAGGGAAACAGCCGTACCAGACAGTCATACGAAGGTCTCTTTACTTCCATATTTTTTGTGCTAGGATTTCTTAGATAATTTCTACTACAAGCCCCTTCATTCATTTCCTAACTCTTGTCACCGTCATTCCAAGATTTCCAGGAACTAGAAAACATGCTTTTAAATTCTTTTTCCCATCATCCTTTCACAGCCACGAAGATATGACACTTAGTAATTTCTTGTGAAAACTGTAATCACTGTTTTATCTGCAGTTTTTGGATAACATACCATTAATGGACCATTAGATGAATGAAGAGAAAGCATCTAAAAGTCTGTCTCAGTATTATTGCTATTATCTCAATAGAGGTGATGTAGGTGCCAGAGAGTAGAAGAGCTACTTTTAGCTCTTGTGTGGGTGCTGAATTTTAAAGATTCCAATATCCCTTTTTATTCTCAAATAAAAAACATTTCAAGGGATGCATAATGATATGACAAATGACGTTTACTGTAATTGTATTATCATTTTCCTGAAGGCTGCCAATGACTAATCCGCTATCTTGGAAACTTCCTGTATATATTAGTGAAATTGGGAAGGAAAACAGCTGGGGTTACCTTCCACCACATTCTTAAGATTTCTCCCTGGTTTTATTATTTTAAAAAGCTGCTGAAGGCATTGCATACAATTTATGATGAAGGAGAGAAGTGTGACAGTGTGCAACACGCAGGGACAGAGATGCTACAGTTGATTTGTGGTGGACACTCCAGGTACTGAGAACTTTCAGGAAATGTAGTTCATGTTAGACAAACTAATGTGCCAGTGCTGATTAATTATTTTTAATATCTTTCCATCCTAAAATGATATCTTGGTCAATGTATCACTTGGCTGTCTGACAAAATTGTGGAAGAAAAGTTCTGCTTTAGCTGCTTTCAGTAGATGTTAAAAACAATGAATGCCAGTTAATAAGCAGAACTTCAAGGCAGAAAAGGGTATTTTCCTAATATTGATGTTTTACTGAGTGCTTTTATTTTGTTTTCTTTTGGGAATGGAATCGCTTACATGAATAAAAGTAGAAGAGTTTGTGTCCCTGGTTGCAGTCTTGAATACGGAAGTCAGTGAATGAGTGCTGCTGACTTCTGTGATAACCGTCACTCACCACAATACGTGCCTGGCTCCGAAAGTGTAAATAATCCTACTGCAGCCAGTGAGGCTGTAATCACACTGAGAAAAGCCTTGGTCCTAAATGAGCAATGTAAAGGAGTAGTTTGCAAATTCCTTGAGTGGTGGGTCTTGGAAGCCGACTATAAAATGTAGTAATGCCATTCTTTGTGATTATATTAAAATATTATTTTATATGTATGATATAAACAAACGCACATCTTGACAGAAGAAAGAAATTTTTTACAATAAGAACAACCATTCACTGGAACAAACTCCCCAGCGAGGTGGTCAAGTCCTCATTGCTGGAGGTTTTCAAGATGCAGTTGGACAAGGGTGCTCCCTTTCCCGTGAAAGGTTGTGGCAGGGGGGTTGGACTAGATGATCTTTAAAGGTGTCTTCCGACCCTAACAATTCTTTAGTTCTGTGCTTCCGTGATGCTATGACTGTCCAGATGATCACTGCTGTTCCTTTTCTTTCATTCTGTATTGTTTCTTCAGCTTGACTCACTCTGTCAGGCACATACCTCCCTGGAAGACTACCTAGTGAAACCCTTATGCATATCTGGTTTATATTTCTCAGTGGTTTCACGTTTATTTATTTTGCATTGTGATCAGTGTCTGTATTTTGTTTGGAGATGACATGGTTTCAGCCATTTGGTTTTTCAAGGGAGCTCTATAGTTTCTTATAGTTATTACAAAGGAACGATAACAGTCCTATGTTGCAAGTTGAATTAGATTCAATCAAATCCACGATAAGAAGCTTTTGTGGAAGGGCCAGGAAACAAAAATTTTTCCCCTTTCTCCTTTTGTGAATAGCTATCTGTTAGAGAAAGATGGAAGAAGTTTAGGTGTCCCTTGCCCGTAGGGGTTATGCCTTTTTAGTATTTGCATTGATAGCCACTGGATGTCACTGATGGTTCACAGAAACATAGAGACCTATGCACTTTTTCCAGGCGGTAAAAAGTGACTTAAAGAGCACAAGGTTTGGAGGAGAAGCATTTCCATGTGAAATGGGAGAAAATTATATCAGTGTGCAGTAAGCACAGCTCTGGTTGGGATCGCCAAGTTGTGTTCAGCTTCATGACTTTAGGCAGTGAACAGATCCTCTGTTTTAAGACTCTGGGGAACAAAGCCAGCAAAGGTTCCTTGCGCCGCTGAGTTGCAAGGCATGAGCACAACCAAGCTGGAAGTGAAACTCCACATGGGAAAATGTGGAAGTTGTGGTGTGTGTACAACGGATATTGCAGATAAGTGTACACTCACACACAGAGTCCACCTAGTAATGCCACAAGAGAGGAAATAATGAAAAAATCTCAGCTGTGCCATTGTTGTATGCACCAGTTAAGAGGAAAAATACACATCTGAGGGTTTTAATTAATGTGTGTTAAGATGGCAAAGCATCTTCTGGCCAACGTCACCATGGAGGTGTCACTACTGCTGTGCCTTTTGCACTGCAAGTCTCAAGAAGGCAGCATACCAAGTGACTTCATGCTGCTGTGATCTTTGCATTAAATTAGCAACCACTAGCATACCTGCTACAGATGTACGTAGGACTTCCAGACTTCCGTTCAAGAAATCCTAGAGAGAGATTTCTGTTTATGCAGCCCATATGCCAGATATCAGGCATACCCCAGCTGCTTCAGATTTACGGTGAAGGTACAGATCAACTGGGCAGCCGCCATGTGAGGGACGGCTGTCTGCTGCGGTCCAGGCAGGTGTTTTTGTCAGGTCCGCTGGTTTCAGACACATTCCTGTTGCCTGGAATGCTACAAGTTTCTTGGCATATCCAGTCAATCTGCTTGTGCACCACCAGCCATCTGCCAGGGCGTGCCTGATTTCTAGAAATGCCAAAAAATAGCCTGACTCTGCTTTTTCTTGTAGGACATAACCTGCAGGAAGAAAAGGAGGGCATTTCGGTCAAAAAATGAATCTATAAGCAAGCATACAGAGAGCAGAAGTAAAGGTATGCTGTAAATACAGTATAACCACTGCAGTCTGGGGACTGGCCCACACGTTAAGGCAAGTTGCCCTTATACATGAACACATACCTGATCAAATGATCATTTCCTTCTTTGTTCTTTTGCTCTCTGTTTTGCATACTATTATTTTTCGCTTTGTCCACAGTCAGTTCCCTCCATTTCGGTTTTCACAGAATCAGAGAGTCATAGAGTCGTTAAGGTTGGCAAAGACCTCTAAGATCATCAAGTCCAACCATCAACCCAACACCCCCATGCCTGCTAAACCATGTCCCAAAGTGCCACATCAACACATTTTTGAATGCCTCCAGGGATGGGGACTGCACCACTGCCCTGGGAAGCCGGTTACTAAGTTGTAGTCCTGTTAATGTTTCTGTGCTCATGAAAGCTTGGGCACAACTGAAAGTGATAGTGGCAGTTATATATGCAGGGTGTGAATTTTATGGTATAGGATGCAAAAAAACCCCCAGGCAGATTATAATGAGGCTTAAAGTATGAATCACCTTGGTGTAACTCTTATGACTTCGGATGGGTTATATGAATAAAAGAAAAGTTTGCTTTCTGAATAAGAACAAAGAGACATGCAACATCGGTCAATGGAAGACAAATGTAAGAGAGATATCCGTGATTTTAAGGGACTGACCATTCATAGGCAACACACCCCTAGCTCTCTTTTCAGTGCTCCGGCCAAGGACAGATGCTCATGAGATGTGCTGTCTGTTCCTTTGTGGGACTGCATCTTGGCCTAAGATGGCAGAGAGCTGAAACTTTAATCTCAGCTCGGACATTAAGTTCCTTTTTGATCAGAGGCAATGTGCTTAACCCTTACTTGACTCCATTTTTCCACATCTTGAAAAATGACACAGCACGGCTAGAAACTCAGAGTGATATCATTTTTAAAAAAATCCTAAACTCTATTTAAGTCAAGCTTACCCAAAGATTCAGAAAAACCTGTCTTTTTATGAGAAAAGCTCTATTTGATGGGAATTCATTTTGCCTTTTCCTACCAGGATGCTGTCAGGCTGCAATGTTTTCTTCTGAGAAGAATTCTCAATCCTCGTGCAGATGGGGAGTAACAATAAACACCATCTGCTGCAAATGAGGTTACTCTCTTAGCAACGAGAGAGATCAGGCTCTGTCTCAGCCTCCCATTTTCTGTGCTGAAGTACGCACTCGCACTTCAGCCTGTAACAGAGCAAGCGATCAGAAACAAAGTGGAAAAGTGAAAAATCTTTCTTATTCCCCTTCTGGCGAGATCCTTCCCATTCCTGCCAACACCAGGATTTTATTGCTGTACGCCGAAAAAGGGTGAGTTCTGCTCCTCACCCCACCTTCCCCCGCTCCCAGCTGCCCCTGGGGGGGTGGGAGCAGCATCACGAAACGCTGGCAACCTCTAACGGCGGCTAGGAGCTGGGAGCCACCCCAAAAAGTAAATAGGATTGGCAGGAGGGGGCTACATACCAGTTGAGAGGTGATCTAAAGCTCACAGGGAAGAGGGCCAGCGAGGCACTCAATTGCTACCTGGACCCTGAGCTGCAGCTGCCCCATGGGTGCCGTTTGCCTCCCCAGCCAGCTGTCAGCCATGCCTTGCTCCAGCCGGGAGTGCTCAGCGATTACAGCATGCCAAGTTGTGGAGGACAGCCGGCGTCAGAGCAGACGCTTGTCAGTAACTTGGCGTGGCATCTCTCCACGCGAAGCTTGCTCTCCTGTGCTGCGACAAGGTGATTTTAAAAGAGAATGGTCTGGTTTTTCCATTATTCTATATAGTGCCTGATCAGCATTCTTTGTTGGTAATGTTCGGAGGTCTTGACCAGGTTCAGGCAGCCTTTAATTCAAGTGCTGTGCAGACCACAGGTTCATATGCACTCTCAGGAGGCAGAAATTCACAGTCCTCAGAAGTCATTTAGAGCATCTTTCTGATGCAGCTATTTAAGGAAATGTTATCTTTGCCCTGAAATCACCAAAAATACACTTGCAGATAAAGGACTTGAACTCGACTCACAGCCAGGGGAAAGAGCTCTCCACTCTTTATTCAAATATTTGTGAAAAAATTTGTACATCTTGACAGTTTCAAGAACTCCTCACAGAAATACCATATGTGTCATTCCTTTTTCATATTTGTCATGCTACAGTTTCCAGTTAATGCACTGGAATGTGCACTAGCATGATTAGTCACCAGGAACCAACCTTTTTAATCTGCTCAGAAAATTTTACTGCCTCTGTATCAGATTTTTTAAATTAATGCATGTGATGCTCCATAGCTGTGAGACTCAGCTAATTGCGACGAGCCATATAGAGTATTCAATGCTTCTAGGATATGTCACGCTCTGTTGAGTGGGAACACGTGCTGATCCGCTGATGCTCCTGAGGGGGGTAGGATTTATGGGCACGTGCGCTAAACCATCCACATGTTCATGCGTTGGTCCTGCGGGTCAAGAACCATACATCTGATCTATTGATGCTCTGAGGACACGTCCCAGCTTTCCAGAAATACAATAGCCTGGTCGGAGCTAGTGACAAATAGTGCCAGCTGCCCAGAAATCACAGGCAAACGCGAAAGATCCTCTCACTCTTGCCCAGGCAAGATTTTTAAATGGAAAGAGACCTTATATGAGATGTATGGTAACCTGGGCTACACAGAAGATGCAGGCTGTGAGTCACTGTCATTCTCTAGTGCTGTACAGTTAGAGCTAGGAAAAAAACAAAGCTATGATTTGCAATCTTCATTCTGTCCTTTGGCCAGCTTTGTCACATTCTCACTTAGGCTATCAATTAGTTTACACATGGCAATAAATGATCGGACATGAGCTCATGTTTTCTGTTGATTCCACCATTTTCTGCTTGTCCTCTGCCGTCTGAACTTAATGGATGGCTCTTGTCAGGACACTTGTGCAGCCAAGCACCTTTGTTAAAAAAGTTCCCTCTGAGCTCAGCTGCAGTATAAAAGCTGTTCTAATTTCTGATGAAATTTTCAGTCAACTAGTTTTATGCTGCTTTTGGTTTAGATTGTTTATAGCACTTTGAAGTGACCACATATTTGAAAGCCATGCATGAGGCTTCTTAAGAATCAGGTCCCTACAAGATGGAGCGCATCAAGATGCATCTGAAAAGCAAGGCAAGCAAAATCATGAGTCGTTTATTAAAAAAGTAGAACGTATCTGTGCTTTACAAGTTGTCTGATTATGTGCACTAGATTAAGAAAGCTCTTTTTAATAAAAAGAATTTTTAGCATGCACCCTCCTGACGTATGAGCAAAGAAATTAGTAACAGAAATTACCTGTTTGGTCATTAAGTCCATCCCTTCACAGCAGGATAATTGCTGTGCAATAAAGAACACAAATAGCTCAAATAAGCTTAAATTTCTCACGGAGAAGACTGCAGGTAAGATATGACTCCTTTATACAGATTAAAAGGACTTGCCTTGATGAAGTGGTCAGCATTTTTTATTAAAATAAAGAGTCTTTGTGCCAAGAAGACAATGCCCAGCCTGGCTCAGTTGCTCAGAAGCAAAAACCGTGGTTTTATCTTTTCTGCCGTCTTTGAGTACGTGGTTCCTGCGAGATATGGGAGAGGCGTGCTATGGAGACTAATTAGAAACAGGAGTGCTAAATATCATTTAGTGTGAAGAAGAACTCCCTTTCCTCCCTCACTGATCAGAGTTACCGGCCATTCTCCACTTTCTGAGCAAATATATGTGGTCCTATTCTGTAAATGTTGCATGAGCTCCCACGTATGCTGCTTGTTGGTAATTTTTGTCACAACTCTCACAATACAGCACCGGTTTCCTTGAGCTCCTGTTTCGCTTTTCTTCGCCGTAGCCAAGTGACAGAACGGACAACAGCTGGTTTTCAGTAGTTGGATGCATCCTTGGGGGCACGGGACCAGGCGTAGGCATTTGACAGACCATTAGGGAAGCCAGGAGAACTCCTCAGCCCGAGATCAGAGTTTCACACCTCCCAGCTACGGGGTGCAGCCCAGGGTTGGGCTGACGGGTGTTTCTGAGAGTGCTCTCTGAGTTGCTCTCTTTAAAAGCTTGTGGCACTGAGGAAGTCCCAGAGGACAGTGAGCACTGTTTTGCATTTTAGCGTATTTACATCTCAGCTAAGGAGAAGAAGAGCGTAAAAACAGAGGAAGAAAGATAATGAAGGAGCCAGAGCGGTCTGAACTTACCCAGTAAACCTATATACAGGGGCTGCTAAGATGCCAAAGAGTGCTGTGTGAAGCATTTGAAGTAAAGAAACTGAAGGAAATGAACCTGGAAGAGTTCCAGGACATCTGGGAATGCCGAAGAAAGTGCCTTGAACTCAAGGGAAGGGATAGCTCCTGTCTGAATTGTGGGAGAGGCTTGTGGGGAAAATAATGACACTGTAATGCTCTTAAGCCTTTCTGAAGCCCACCTCCGAGCTGTTGCCTTGCTGAGTCATCTGGTGCTCTGCGATGACTATTTCCCTTGCTGTTCACAGCGTGATTCCGCTTGACCAGGTACCTCTAGACCTGTTTCCGTTGCCTGATTGGTTCTGTATCCATCTGAAGTTCCACAAGCTGTGTTTCACCTGGCTGTGGTAAGTGATTCCCAACTGGGTATGTTGTCGTCCACAGCAACAACATTGCTTGAAAAAGAGGGAAAAGAGCCTGGGAGAATTTTCAAGGTTGAGGTACATTTTGAGTAGATATAAATAGACTAAGCTATCATCACACCTGCTTCTCTTCTCTGACAGTCCCACAGATCACAGGCTCTAAGAGTCGCACTCAGCAAGGACAGCAGAATACAGAAGAAAGAAAGGACTACTGCTGGCAGCGTAAAAAATACAAGGTTTAAATTTATTTCTGGCTCACAGGCGCTAATCCATGGCTATTTTGTGCAAGTTGTGAGTTCAACCGTGAAAGCACTTTGGGTCACCTTGCTACTAATA